AATTACAACTTGCCCTAGAAAAAAATGACATTTGTACAACCCAGAATATCCCACTGGGTTCGTGGGCAGATAAAATATCACTCCGTCAAAATAAGGTTTAAAAAATGAAGGGGAAACTCAGATGTTTCCCAAGCCCTGGATCTTGTCACTTGCTCTAAGCACTTCAGCAGCATGTTTGTTTTACAGAATTGTGATAGGTTTTTTTTAAGGTGGAGGTCCACAGTTGACTCTTCCTCTGGATCAATTTCCCCAGGCTGCTGAGAGTTCCTCCCCTTGCCTGTTTTTTTTTCTCGACATCATGCAATGTCAAGAGATTCCTAATTTCCCCCAGGAAATTCCAGCAAATCCTTAGTTCTCACCATCCCCCTTGTTTTGCTCCAAGCATACAGTCTCAACAAAAACTCTGGTGAAGAGTCAGTGTATGAGATAATTCTGCTTTCGTATCCAGCAAATGAAATGGAAAGGAAATGGAGACTCTGCCTAAATTTAGCTTTTTTACAAGCGCTCGGGGTAAAGCAAAGTCCTGCAGTCTCCCATGCAGTTCCAGAAGGATATCGCTGTGATAGCATTGGCACTGGCTGCGGCTGGCAAAGTAGGATTTTCAGCATGCACACAACAGTCATCCAACATCTGCCCAGCTTTCTCATTTATAAACGCAACTGAAATCTCCTGGGCCTGGGCATAGAGGACAGGATGAGAGGCTCCTTGGGAAGTTTTCCCAGACATATGAAGGAATTTAACAACCTAGTGAGCCAGAGAGCGCTGCTTCTCTAGAGAGGGACTGGACGGAAGAGGACTGCAGGCTGGATGTGAGCAGGTGCAATTACACGGCAGCTGGTGGAGCTGCACCTACTCACAACAGGGCAAAAAGTTGTGGCCGTTCAGCTGTTTCCCTCCAAGCTGAGTTTCAACAATGAAACACAGACAGGCTCAACATCATTTACAAAGCAAATGGCCAGGTTATTATACACTCTGATTTGCTGAAAGCCACAGGTCTCTCTTCTGCCTTGTAGTATAAATAGATTTGAAACAAACTAATAGATTAAAAAAGCAGGTGCCTCTGCTTTCCTTAATCAGTAATCTCTGGGCTTTGATGGAGTAGGCCAAGTGGCTTTATAGTGGGAGGTAATGGTTCGATAATGACTTATTTATGTAGTGAAGAAATTGAGTTTTCTCTAAACTATCATACAGGAGCTAACTCTGCAGCAATCTGCCTGCCTGCCTCTTATTGCCGCAACTACTAGCTCTCTTCTCTTCAAATTTGCTTCCTCAGTTGTTCCCACTGGTTACAGCCATGCCTGCAAACTGTAGTGCTCCTTGTTTAAGCTCTTTAGATATTAAGAGTTATGTGATTAATGTCATTACAGGGAAGGTGTGCACCACACACGGTCTCTACAGCTGAGGCAGTTGTCTAGGCACATGTAACATGGAAGGAAGAGAAATAGGAAGTTCCAGCAAACACCACCCCTGTGACCTCTACTAGATGTTTATACCACGAGGCTGATGAAGGTTTCTCCAAACGTTCTCTACCTTGGGAGGCTGTATGCCTTAACTGAGCTGATGTGGCAAATAGGAAGGAATGCAGAAGAATTTCTACCAGGCTCCTGAGATTTCCGAGTGCGTGCGATTTGCATTGGAAGAGCTGATGGGGAGGTTTGGTTTCTAGATGTCCTCCCCAACTTGCACTGAAATCTGTGCCTGTTTGCCTCAATATGCCAGACTGGAAACTGAAAGAGATACAAACCCTCCTCACAAGCAGCTGCCAGCTGCACCGCAGCGCAGCTCAGACAGATGCTGCGGCAACGTTTCAGCTCTCTAGTGCACGCCCTCCAAACTTAGGGCACTTCTGAGAAGACTCAGCACTAGGCCTAGAGCTTCAAGCTGAATGCACTTTCCAAACTGTTATGTTTCTCACTTTTGAGCATTTTAAATCAAGGACAACAGGACAGAGGCTAGTTGGTCTTTTAATCATGTTAACAATACATGTTACCAGATAAATTTTATTTACTTGTCTACCTTTTATCTGCTAAAGTTGATGCTTGATTCATCTCACTATTTGCAATAAAATTTCTTATTTCAGAGAAATAGGAATCCTCTTTTTCATCTAAAAGTGCATGGTTGTCTGATTCCGAGTTTGGGGAAGAGGCACTGGTCCCAAGGTGGTTTGTAATGACTCCAGAGTGCTGGCTCACTGAGTGAGGGAAACAAGAAAAGAGAACAAACAGAAGAAACAATCAGATATTGTCAAACCTATTACAAAGAGAAAAAAACAGGGGAAGAACATTATGCAATAATCCTCTTACTACACATTAAGAATTGAACGTTTAAGAGAAATGTCATGGACCAAAGCTGCCAAAGGAAGCTCGTATTTTCCAGATTTGATCTACAGAGAGAAACACAGAGGGTATTTAGCATTTACGGATGGTATATACAGGTTAAGAATCACTATCCACTGTACAGCTGTTTGCCTGTAAATTTTTTGTAAATTTTTTCCCTAGGCTGAAAGATTACTTAGCTGGCTTCAGGGTAGGAGATTCTTCATCCCGTTTCCAGGGCAAAAACTGTCTGGCTTCTTGAACTGCACACGCATCTACAAACGCCTTTCAGCTTGAAAACCCTTGGCAGAGCTTGATGTCGAGACAGACACATTAACGCTGTACCTGAAGATCTCACAGCATGATGTTGTGCTCCCTGGATAAAGTCCCCAGGAAGTTAATATCATGATTACTATTTTATGGCTTGCAAAAGGGCACCTGGAAAAGCACTAGCTGAGCAGCGCTCAGCAGAACTGAGTACTGTGCATGTGCGCGGGTGCGTGGTATAGCCATGCACCGTGGGCAAATGCATCTTTTGCTGCAGGAGGAGCTCGCATATCTTTTTTTTGCTACCTAAAGATACTCAGTGTCAAGAAACAGCACTTTCCATAAAGGCTTCCCAAAGTGACCAAAGAGATTAAAGCACGAAGGCTTCTGCCCCAGCAGAACGGCACGGCCCTGCTGTTTGCTACCTGGAACATTCTCGTGTTCGTGTTTCTTAAGGTGTCGGTCCAAGTTGGTCTGCTGCCCGAAGCATCGGTTACACAGGTGACATTTAAATGGCTTCTCCTTGTTATGGATGTTTCGAACATGCCGCTGGAGGTTGGAGGAAATGCTGAATGACCTGTCACAGTATTTACACCTGAAAAATAGAAGCAAATGCCAATGAGCGCAATGTGAGGGAAAAAAAAAAAAAAACAAAAAGAAAAATCTGACTACCAGAAAACCAGAAAACATTGGTCTATAAATCTTGACTCCACTGAGGACCTGGAAAGCACGAGGCATTAATCATTCCAGACCAATCTGATATTGTTGTTATTCAAGGAGCACAAAGAAGGGATAAGGATTAATTAAAAAGGGAGCCGTCCAAACAAGTAAGAATTTAAAATAAAATAATTACTTTTCCACACAGAAATGTAAAAATATGAAAGGAGAATTTATTTTGTCCGCCCTTCTCATTCTGCAGGCGAAGTAGCTGAAACAGAGCTATGGGGGAAGTGGAAGGAAGACAGAAGGAGAAGAAAGAAGGGACGTTAAAAATGTAAATCAGCCAGTGTATCCCCACATGACACAGTTATCTGGTGATACACAAAACTCTAGATTTGTTTGTGAAATTCCTTGTGGAACTCAAGATGCGGGCAGCAGAGCGTGTCTTACAGGTAATTACGGTTATTACTATGGTACAATAGCTCCCAAAAAACCACCATACTTTCTAAAGAGGGTGAGATTTACTCCTATGTAACGAGCATCTGCTTCGCGATGGGAAAACGTCGAAGGTAAGGAGCCAAGGCAGAGTGTCTGGGGAAACCGCTGAGTGAAGAAACGCTCCCTGTTTGAAACGAACCTCTACAGGACCCACAGTAGATGCGCTGGAAGCTTGTTTAAAGTCCCGATTGCCCTCTCTGGATTCAGATTCCCTCAGAATAAAAACAAGGCTTTGCTAAATCAAGATGCGCTGGGAACTTGGACCTCTGCACCCGCTTGCAGCGCAGAACAAGAATGCACCGAACTTACTGAAGAGGGCAGCTTCGAGCCGCAACAAAGAGTTTCGGGACTACAGCTAGAGAAACCCGAGTTCCTCTTTGACTCAGCACGAATCCCTCATTAGATCTCTCTTTAAATACGTCATTTATACCTCAACAAAGCTACTTTCCTCATGGCTCTACTGCCAAAACCCATGAGAAGAAGTAGAATCCTTTCGCCGCTGCACACCTTTGCAAACCCTTCACGCTTAGGGGACAAGGCAAACCCTGGTCTTAAGCTGGCACAATTTCAGAGTAAAGCGACTTACTGTAGCAGAACTGCTCTATGCTGCTGTAATTAAGAGCAAAATTTGTCCCACTGAACTAAGCCACTTTTGATCAGCCGTAAAGATGGTGGGTCAGTTTGTACATGTTTTAGGAATGCCATTAGTCCACTCTCTGAAGAGTGCGCACAGAACTGAATCTTGTGCTCGAGTCGGTCAAGATTGAAACTGCACCAGGCTTGACAGTAAGGGCGTACTATTGTTTTCTACAAACATAAAGGATTCAAATGGGGAAAGGAGGTGTAAGGGTAGAAAAATCTACTTTGTGAAACGCACAGACACGCACACACAGCTTCCAGATGTGCTACAGCTGTGATTTTGATTCAGCTGCTAAAAATAGATTGATATTATTTTTGGAAATAGCAGAGATACGCTTATGAAACACTCTCTCTCTCAGTGTTTATGGATTCCATGTCCACCTCCAAATTTCCTACTGTTAAAACACAAAAAAAGAATTAAGAGGTTTCCTATAATGAAAGAATCAAGATGTTTCATACAATGTAACTTCATCATGACTGTCCTAGAAAGCAAGCAAAATGTCTTGTTAAACCATAGTTTCTTCAGACTTCAAAATGCTTTCTTTTTATTTTTTTCCAGAAAATGAATCGAATAACTGAAGAAAACAAGACATTATTTGAACATTAGCAAGAACAAGCACAGTCTATATACTGAGAGTGAAACACGCACAGATTTGCAGCTCCTACTCTCCTCCTACCTGCTAGCAACCAAAGGATTTGATGCCATGAGTTGCCGGGCTTCTGCAGCTTCTCCTGTTCAGCACTGCAGAACACGCAAAGGGCCAAAGCAGCCCCACACCCCCATACACTTGCTACTCCACAGGACTTACGTAAGCAGTTTCGCCTGCCTTACTTCTACTGACGCTGCATCGCCAGCTGCCTCCTCTGCTGGTGCTCAAGGTTTTCATTCCCTGCCTGTCGCCCCCTTATATGCGAGACACATTTCTAAATCAGATCACTACTGTCTCTCCTGTAGTAGCCACCAAAGAGCCTGAGACTCGCCCTTGCCGTAAGGCTCACAAAAGCGTATCAGCTGCTACAGTATTTCTGGCTTTCTTTTCCTATACCCCTAATTACTCCACTTTCTAAAACGTCTTTCCACCCCAGTTAATAATTATCTCTCAGTGCTGGTGAGTCATGACATTCCCAGAGCTAGGGCAGCTCTCCACCGCGTTATTCCGGCCTCGCACCATTTCAGCTATATGCCCTTCTAAGTCGCGCACGCATCACTCACGCGAGCAGTTGCAGCGACTTCAAAGGGAGCGCTCACGTGAGCCAGGCAGGAACGGTCTGGCCTCTTGTATGTCAATTTATTTAGATGTTCAGGAAGTCTTTGAAAAGTTTCTCCTGACAGGTCCTTGCTCTAACTATGAGCTATGTGGATCCAGGTTAAGATACAGAGAAAGGATAAAGAGCTTGTTAAAAAAATAGAAAACAGAGGGGCATTCGAAAGGAGCAATATCTAATGTCTGAAAGTAAAGGGACGAGGGAGACGTACTGTATTATTTGTGGTCCCAGAGGGGTCACTACTCGGATCTCTGCTGGTTTTAATCTAAATAAACGATCTAGACAGAGGAACCCACTTGAAAATCAGGGAAGAGGTGAACACAGAGGCAGCAGGAGAGTAAAATACAAAAGAAGCTGTATTTGCTTTGTAAATACACTGACAAAATGCAAGTAAAATTTGTTGCTTATCAGTTTAAAGTAACACACCAACAGGCTAAAAAAAAATAAAGCAGGAGGGAACGATAGCTAACAATAAGCCAGAGCCAGGGAACTTCGAGAAGGAGCTCAGAGCCACAGCAGACAGCCCTAAGACCTTGAGGGAACCCAGATGTCCAATCCAATACACAACTGGAAGGGGAAAATAGACAGCAAAAAAACAAACAAAAAAAACCCCAAGACAAACAAAAAAACGCACACACAATGTAAGAATGAGTAACTGAGCTCATCACCGTAAGACTAAGACAGTTTGGTAACGCTTCAAATGTACTAGTAACGTCCCACATCGTTCTTCAAGTTCCAGCAGCACGGCTGCTCTTGCAGAACTAACTTTACACTCAGTTGAGGATCAGACAATGTGAGCTGTAAAGACAGAACTACAGTAACAAACCATAAAACACATGGATAGCTACTCTTCCTTTGAGTAATTCCTTAATCTCAAGTGCAGTTACCCCAGGGATGAATTTAGCTTATATTTTGAAAAAGAAAAAAAGAAAAGTTTTTTATGGAACTATGTGCAATCTTACGGGACATGGTAAATGTCAGCTCTAGTTGTTAGTTTCAGCTTAATGCAGATAACAGGACATGGGGGCCTAAAAGGAAATTAAAGAAAAACAAATGCAAAACAGACGTCAGGAAGCACATCTTTTTAGAAGGAATCGCAGCCTTACAGGCAATGCTTCAGGACTGGGTGTAATTCAAGAATCAATTAGATGGCATCCTGGAGGGAATGGACATTTGAAAGAAGAAACTAAAGTCTTGTTGAGCCGAATAGCCTTTACTTGTTCTCAGTTCAGGTTTTACGTAGTTCCAGAAAATGAAAACAAAAAATGAAAATTTTATTTATGTGGGTTTTTATACAAACCCACAACTACAATACACCCTTATGTTCACAGGCTTGAAGCACAAGGAGCTTCATTAAAAACTGCCTCTTCTGGATTTTGCTTCACAATCTCAGAAGGACAACAAAGTCCTATTTTTTTACTGCCCGAGCTGCCACAGAAGTCTGACACTATTTCCAAACAAGCCCAACTTCTTTTGCATTCCTCTGAAAGAAACGGAAATAGTTAAGTTTGATAGTCCTTTTTACTCTGGGGTTTTGAAATACATACTGTTGCATTTTAGATCCAGTGTGGAAAAGAACGGCGGAAAGAAAAGAATTCTGTCTAATTCCACTACATAAGATGATGCCCGTGAGTCATTTCAAACCCGCTTGCTTCTAAGGAAGCACAATGCGTTACCAGGTATGTCTCAGTCACCAAAATATATGTAGCACTTTCCTTTTTCAAAAAGAACTAATTAACCTCCACAATGCTCAAGAGCTATTTATCCCTACTTTATACATAATTAAATGGAAACGTAGGAACTTTAAATGACATGGCAAGAACCACATCATTTATCAGTGACAATTAGGAATCAAACAGAAAGCACCTGATTTTCTGATCCGCATGTTTCTTGATCTCTGTGTGGACATTGGATCAGTTTGTACTAGGTTTAAGAAGAGTGTAGTTCATATTTGGATGAACTTTCACACTAGCAGAGTCAACAAAAAATATTTAAACATTCAAAAGAAAAATTACAAGAATGACAACAATAAAATACTGAAAAATCAGCAACCTGCTTATACCTGGATAAAGTCAGCACTTACAAAACAAGCTTTCAAAACAATTATTGCTGATAGAGCTGGAAATCTCAGTTCTCAAAGAGCAAAAGAAAATCAATGATAATTAAACTCTTCTGTAAACGTAGCACTAACTCTCAGGAGTGCTATTATACTGCAACATTGTCCAGAAGTCAAACCTCTATTACAAAAAAAACACACAGGCCGTTTTCTGGGAGAAGACCAGATCAAATAAATCTTTATTTTTCTAACCTTTGTTAAGTTGCAAGTCTCCTTTTTTGGAAGAAAACTGGACTAACAACCTCTGAATAACCGGGAGCATGCATTTTAGTCAGACAGGGGTGTATAGTGAATACACAGTATTCATTCAAGTCCTATCAAATAATGCAAGTGAAAAATTAGAAGAACAGGGAATGGTTCCAAAATATATGTCTGTTTTGGAGAGGATTTTTTTTTTTGAAAGTTTACCTAATGTCTACAGTCAGAATTTGACTCTGTATGGAAAAAACAAAACAAAACAAAACAAAAAAAACTTGACTTTATGTACCAGGGATTTAAATGTGGGAGAAAGTAGCTTAGCTTAGCATAAAAATTCCATAGATTTGACCAGATGGCCTTTTGCTGCTCATAAATTTGTTTGTGTTTCTCTTTATATAATAACTATGACATGCTAGTTTTGTTGTGAGCTTATGACTCTGTATGGAAGTACCATAATATTAGCTACCAAAAATGCAATTGCTTGAATTGTTACTATTGTTTGACAACGTGCAAAACACTTATCCACATTACGGAAAACACAGCGCCTGATTTTTAGTGACGTCTCCATTCATCATTCAGTCAGTTTTGCTTATGTACGTACCTATTCTAAAAAGAAATCAGTCAAAGCAGTTTTTGCTACAGTTGTTCGAAACCGACTACCAAAGAAAAAGAAAAAATGTTGGACCCCAAAATTCCCATTTAGTCTTCAGTGAACAATGTTTCTTCATATATACATACATACACACACATATTTTCTCGTGAGTTTTATGGAAATCTAAAACACTCGCTTAAACAGGAGTCCCTTTATGGGAATCCATCACTTCTGTGTGCTGCGCTCAGAGCGTGGTGGCTGCACGCAGGGTTTTGTCTAGGGGGAGAGATGAGCCGCTTTGCAAACGTGCCCTTCTCTATACACACAAGGGCCAGCTGAAACCTAAAAATCCGGCCTCTTCCCGCAATTAACAGAAAACAGTAGTGCAGGCCTCAAACGCAGACACCTCGCTGAACACCTGAAATAAGAGTGTGCGAACACCCACCCTCTGATCACGCCTTTTAAACTCTGCCACTTAAGGTGGGGCGCTCCCTAATTTAGATTTTAAAGTCGATACACTATAGGTCTTCTTTGATCCATTACTCCAGGGACTTCTGACATGCATTAGGAAAAGAAAAAAGAATCCAGCTAGACCCAGCAGTTAATTTATTGGCAAGCCCTTCAAAACAGCCTGATTTTCAGAGACATTCAGCACCTTCAGCTGTCCTTGAGATGAATGGTTAATGTGAGTGTTAAACAACACTGAAAATCAGACCACTCATTTGCCAGCATATATCTAAATATAAGTTAAGTGTCTATCTTGAAGCTGCCAAGTCTGATTATTTTTGGCTGGTACACATTATATACAATCCTATGAATCACTACATGTAACGCTACATGATTGCAGTATTATGTTGGCACAACTTTATAGAAAGCAAAAGAATAACATAGCGGTGAACGACCAGTGTGTTGGGAAAGGGACATTATTTGGGGGACAACGTCACCTGTAGGGCTGTTCTCCAGTGTGTGTCCGCAGATGCCGTGTCAGGTTGGCTGAGCGCGGGAAGATCTTACCACAGTACCTAGATAGTGAAAGCCAAAGTAACCATCAGCGCATGAAAGTCCTGTCACATGAGATCATTTGCAAACACTGTATCACCGAGTGCTATCCATCTCGCTCATTTTGATACCATTCCCAAAATTAGAAAAACACTTTGTGCAGCAACAGCTCCAGGCACAGAGGTACCGGGGCAGGCAGACGTGGAGGTAAGAACTAGCAGAGCTACATCCCGCCTGAAGCCTGGGAGCTACAGTGGCGGGACACTGGGGCAATCCGTCTGCATCACAGACGCACGCTTAAAGATCCTCCTGAGCCTAAAGATGAATCTTTGCGTTCAATACCTTTTGGCTGAGTTTCTTCCATCTCTTTTTCTAAGTCCTTTTTGAACGCATAAAAACTTTTGACATCCACAACATCCTGTGGCAATGAGTTCCTTTGCTGGTCTATGTGTTTTGTGTCAAGAAACCTCCTGTTTGCTTTGGACCTGTCAGTTAGTAACTTGGTTTGATGTTACCTCGTTCCTGCATTAGGATAAATACTGTTTAATCACTGTCTATTCATGTTCTCCCTGTCACTGGAGATGTTTATAGATTTCTTTGATATTCCTAGCTCGTTGCTTATCATATAGAAGCAACTTGATCATCCTTCTTACAATTTGCAGGATTTTCCTCTAGACAAATGCTGCAGCATTGCACTGCTGTTATCAGGATGTACTGCTATGAGTCTGACCGTCTGCTTAGAATAAGGAAACGTATCAACAGGAAGCAAAATGAGAGAAGGAACTCTGTTCCACAATAAATTCGAATTTGCGGGTAAAACTCGATAAGCAGATACAGGTTTTAAATCTCTGGGTGATATGCCCCGATATGAGGTTTTACAGCTGCAGGGGATACACAAGTATTTCTGTGGAGACAACTGTGTGTGAAATGCTGATTTCCTGTAAGCTACTTTTTAAAGTACATTATTTTGCATGGTTGAGACTGTAATGCACTTGCATTGGAAACTGTGACCTCTGCTACCACACATAGGAGACTTGGCTTGAAAAATTTGGTTTGCTTGAGACTCTCCAGATCTGCCCTCAAAGTTATTAAAAAATACAAAGAAAATAGAAGATGCTGATTTTCTCCCAGACAAAACAAGCTATTTCAGAGCGAATTAGTCATGAGAATGCTCTGTTCTAATTTTCCTACCTCTTGTTTTTCTCTCCACCCCTGCCAACGTGATTTGAAGTTTCTCTGTGGCACGCTTGGGTCTGATGCAGCTTCCCCACCTGGGTGCTGCTCTCCCAGGGTGGCCTCCATCAGCCCCTGCGGTTGGGCCCCGGCCCTTACCTGCAGGTGTAACGCTCCTTGCCCTTGCGCAGGATGGGATCGGACAGCGTAGGTGGGGGGGATCGGAAGTTGAAAGGATGATGCGGGAGGGGCTGCAGGGAGGTGCCGGTGTCTGCCTTCATGGCTGCAAAACTCTCCAGCTTCTCCGTCATCGTTTCTATGGCTGACATCTACAAGGACAAGGAAAGACCTCATGTCATAACAAACCACAGGAAGAATAATACCTGATGTGTAAGATGCGCCTCTTCCCTGCAGTATGTTGCTCAAAGTCTGTTGCTGGTGCTTACTCTTATCCCCAGAACGCTCAGAGTAAAATGGACTCGCTGCATCCGGCCAGGAAAAGGGCAAAATAAGTTACTGGGCTTAGAGAGATCAGGTAAAATACAGCTGATAAAGCCAAGCACCAAGCACCAGTTTTTTTTTTTTTTTTTTTTTTTTTTTTTTACCTTCTGCAATACGCATGTGTTTACTTTCACCTTAAAAAATTATCTCAGAGTGCATCTGGCTTCCCTTTTTCCAGGGATGACACTGAAATTAAATACCAGGGTCAAACGCTGGATGCAGAGCTCACGGCCCAAGCCCTCCGCACAAACAGTCTTACAACGCAAGCAGCTCTGATTTTCCATACAGCACCCCTTACCCTTACGCTGCCTCAGGGGCAAACATCAGCGAGCAGCGGGCAGACAGACAGACAAGCCCAGGGTAAAAGGACAGAGGTCCTGGGCAGGAGGATCCGGGCCGGCCTGGAGCGGGAGGGAGCCCCGGGGTGCCTGACTGCCAGCCACGGAGCCGAGGCAGGGAAGAGGCTGGGGCTGGAGGGGTGAATAGCAGCAGCTGGGGAAGAGGTGGATTTAAGATCAGACTCAGGATGGAGGGGGTCCACAGAGAGTTTGTCTAGCTACGAGGCCAACATTTTAATTATATGTAAGAAGGGTTCAGAAGCCAGTAAAGGTGATGGAAGGATGGGTGGGAGATGACTGAACTTCCTGGAGTGAAAGGAAATTCCAGCCAAAATATTTGGAGCTGCAGCTGGGTGAGTTACGGTTAGGAGGACCATAACCTCCAGACATAAAACCCGTTCAGATGGGAGTGGCAGGCACACAGGCCTAGGATGTGACACTGAATAACATCAGCTGCAGTTTCTATGACTCAGCAATGGACACATTCTCACTTAAATACCGAGATTAAATACCAGACCAGAAGCACAGAGAAGGGGAAAGCCAAAAAAAAAAAAAAAAAAAGTCAGTCTATAAATGACTATTCGTAAAAATCCGACCTAAAGCAAACACTTTTACTTTCATTGGAGCAAAACAGGAAATCCAAATCCAAGAGAGAGCCGCAGCTCAGAGGACTACGCCACCATCTTCAACGGTCATATCCGCGCACTCTCGAGAGCACTTTCAAGACACCCAGCAGCACACACGGATAAAACAAACAAGCGAGCACTAAAGCTGCCTCCTGGCTGCGGATGACCTCACCAGGAAAGCAGGGAGCAGCGGGGCCGGGGAGCGCGCCGGAGCGGCAGGCCGGGACCCGGGGAGACAGCGAGCGAGCGGAAGGCAGTAGGAAGCCATATATCAAAACTAGATGCTCTATTGTACAGGAAGGGCTGACCTTTTGCACGTTTACACTTTATTAAACTGGGCTCAGGGGGGAAAAGAGAGCCAAGATATTGTTTAAAATGTATGACTATAAAAAAAGTTGTCTTAATCACCAAAGAATACATTGTGGAAGGCTGACAACCATTCATAAGCCGTAAAAAAGAGGAGTAGTAAAACCCATTTCTCGTTAATAGATCCACAGCCCCTTAGTTGGAGGCTCCCAGCCCATGATAAATAGTAAGTAATACTTAGCGCCAGCCACTTGAAAAGGTTACTCGATCATTTACAGCAAAAGCTCTGCCCCAGCTGCCAGTCATGTAACAAAACCATCACGTTAAAATGCTCTGCGGATCTTTCAGAGCTGTGCCGCTCAGCCCGCCGCCGGCGTACCTGGAGCTAGCCTTTGTCGAGCCCTGTTCTTCAGGCACTTAGGCAGAGATGTTTGCTGCCCTGAGAGCCCGAGGCTTATTTTACAATTCTAAACACCGGCCACAGCCTCTCTAGCGGTAAAGGCACTTTGCTATTCAGGGAACAACTGCCTGGTTATAATAAAAAAGAAGGGGAGAAGAAAAGAAACTTAACAGGTGAGAAAAGGCTTTCCATTAAGTAATCAAAAAGTTACACCATTTATTTATGTCGTCCAGAGTTTCATTTAAAATAGACAACGCAGGAGTAACTCGCATCATAGCAGAGAAACTACTGTCAACAGCCGGGTAAGAAATAAAAGTTGCCGGAAACTCCTTTTAGGAGACAAAGTATCTTCCGCATGCTCAGTCTTCATCGCGCCTTTTGGCTTAATTACAAGCGCCCGGCCCCTCAGACAGGGGCAGGAGCCTCTGAATACTCAGCTTCTTAGGGGGACGTCCAGGCGAATACAGGATGCAGGCCTGGCACGCCAGCATCCCGTGTCGCGCACCTTGCGCGCCTGAGCTCTGCCCGAGCACACGACGCGGGAGCGGTGCGCTCCGTGGAGAGCAAGTGATCTCGGCACACTTTAGTAAAAAGTGGTTATCAGGAAGTTTCGGACTCGAGCGCCTGCTAATTCTAGGCTATTCCGTGCGGTAAATCGTTAGAGATAACCAGACCTTCCACGTCTTGTCGTTGCCCTGGGAAGAGGAGGCGGCCTGCTTTCGCGAACAATGCCCCCTCTCAGGCCGATATCCCCGCTATTCTAACTCACACAAACACAGGATGTTGCTGGCCAGCCCGTCGCCATTATCCAGCCAGCACGAAGGAAAAATCGGGGGAAGTTATTAACCAAACTCTCGGGCTGACGCAAAACAATGAAGGAACTAAGTTTAGCTGTGAAAGCCACCAGGACCCAGCTTTCACAAACCTGCAAGTTATTTATCTAAGGTGGGAAACGTTATCAAGCTGTCACCGCCACGCAGCAAACCGCGCGGGGCACGCCGATGAGGTTCCTGTGAACCCGCGCTGACTCTCAGCAACGGTCTTGCTTGCGCTGCTCTTAGTCGTGCCTTTCAGCGCTTCCACGCTAACGGCCAGCATGGCTGCACCGTGGGCTGACATTCCTGGTCTAATTTCAGCTGGGAAAGCTGCCCGGCCGCGTTTCCCATTGCTCTGCAGTGGCTCAGACCTGACGGAGACACAGAGGGAGCAAAAACCCCTGAGTAGTCAGGAGAACAGAGATGAGAGCAGCTGCGTAGGAGAGGGATATGCAACTTTCCAGTCAAATGACCCATCGCCTTTTGGAGCAGGTGGAGTTAGACCCTGATTCCCCATTGCCCTGCACTTCCACGCTTTCTACGTGCCGCAAAGGGAAAGGCGAACGGGCACAAAATGCTGCCGCTCGGATGCTGGAGAGCCTTTCCCCCCTTTGCGCTACGGCAAACGGCTGCACCAGGCGTCCCCCGCGAGGAACCGCGTGGCCTTTCTGGCGAGGGGAAGCGCACTGAGACAGACCGTACGAGCTGCCCAGACCTTGTCCCTGCTTCTCTGCCTATGCGAAAGGAACTGGAAGGCAGTCCCACCATTAGCCTCCAACCTGGGATAAAATCAGAAGCCTTTAGAAGTAACTGGTGGAAAATACCGGAGGACTCAGTCGGGCCAGGAAAAGTCTGATGCAGGTGACTTGTTTGTGCCATCTCCACCTCAAAATTTCTTGACATTCAATCAAACACTGCATTATAACTTTACTGCTTTTACCTGGGGGTGAAAAAGCAGCGGGGAGGGTCGCAGGTACTTCTCCTTTAGGGCACCCACAGGGTCAGTCACCTTCCGCTTCTCCACCCTGCTGGACAACAACACAGAGGGTTACATACCTTACAGGGCTACAAGCAGGAAAGAAAACTAATAGCCAGCTCGTGTGCTGAGGTGCTTAGATTATACGTACAAGGCTCTTCGCCTATTATCACAGACGTCTTACCTCCCCTTCTGCTGCCTACCACAAGGGTGGCCCACGCATTACCCCACAAGAGGTACTGGAAATGGTATCAAAATCGAGCCCCTATTTTTGGCAGTATTTTATTAGCCCTCGAACTGAATGACAAAGAATATGTTTTCATTCTTCTACGTGAGACCTGAGGCCTCTGCTACAGTGGTCTAAAGGCCACTGCTGTTGTGAACTGCTGGTAAGGAAAACTACACTTAGAGCAAAAGCAGCATTTTCGCTGTAGAAAAGCAGGAGTAGCTCTAGAGCCCACAGCAGCCACTGCACGGACAACCTTTGTCTTTGCGAGTTTGTCTCCATCTTAACAGTTACCACTGGGCCAGACTTTGCAGCCCTCACGTGTGCTGAAATCATTAGGTGTTTCATAGTCATTTCCTCCCTTGCAGCTAAAGATATAATTTGCACTGACTTTGTTTGGCTAGCATATGCGGACAATACTTTTAGAAGTTAGGAGCCGGTGGGAGATTTCCAAAGTGACCTAGGCACACGAGTTCTCCTACTGTCACTTAGCACCGTTCAGATATCCCACACTTATGCACCTTACTATGGACCAGTGATCCGAAATTTAGGCTCCTGTTTTGGAAAATACTGGCTTTGCGTTGACAAAATTTTCTACCTGCAGGGAAGCCATGGCATGGAATCACCGAGAATGAGAAACTGAAACGTCCTCTATGGGAAAAGGTGTTATCAAAATAACTCCCAAAAATGCAGCTGCATCTTTGCATTACTGGAATAGAGTCCATCTCAGCTGAACCGGTACAAATCCAATAGTAAAAGTAATTTTAACTCCATTAGTCCAGAGTAAATGAGAGCAAACTATTTTGCTGCACTTCAGCTGATTGGTGCGTGGATCAAAAATTACAAAAAGAGTTTAAAAGAAGAGTCATGCCGAGTGCTATTTAGCGAACTGTATTTAATCTGCATTTAATTTTTCTTAGCCAGAGGAAAAGAAAAGAACTGGATGTGAACTGCAGTCATAATTATTGTGCTTCGGAAGGCATGCCTTTTTACAGGCCTGTGTTTTCAAAAAACAGCAATCTGTAAAACTAAGTTTCTCCCTGATGCAAGGTAAAATAGTAAACCACAGCTAGTAACACCCCCAAGCCGTGAGGCTTTATGCTCCGTGACGCGCTGAAATTAGCTATGATGCACAAGGGAATGCCTGCTAGAGCTCGGGAGCAGGGTTGTCGTGAGACAGCCCCACCTGCCTCAAAAAGTAAAGCCGCCCTTAGTGAAGAGCTCGCGCTGCACAAAGCTTCATCATCTTCCAGGGGCAAGTAATGAGAACACAATAAAGCACAAATTTCCTCGTCAGAGCTGAATTCCGCAGTGACTAAAGGATTAAGCTGATCTTTTCAGCCCAGTGCCTGAGAACGTTACCTTAACAAGGCTGAGCTAAAAACTGCACAGATTTCAGGCTGTCTGGCTGCATTAAATTATATCACCAGGAGAAAATGTCAAGGATTTAAGTGGCCTTTGGGAGAAAAATGAAGGAGCCAAATGATGTGAGAGAGTCTGATAAAGAGAAGTTTAGAAACAAAATATTTCCATATTTTTTAAGCTGGGACTTGGAAGCTCTGCTGTTTAGCTCATTACATCAGAAGTCTGATTTGCAAGCGACTCCACCGCTGACTTTCTATTTTAATATATTACCAAAACTATATGCATCCCATGGAATGCAGCGAGCGATGCCCTCATCCTTCACTTCCATCTGTCTCCTGGACCTTTATGGTTTTCCCGAGGCTGCTATTTTAATTGGCAACTGCTTTTGCAACCCATGTTGTTTTAACATTCCTACTGAGAATGGCCAGAGGTGGTAGAATCCTAAGCTAACTCCAGGCTTCTGCCTTTCTATCCCATTTCTTCATTTTTCTCCAGAAGTAGCTTTTACAAAAATAAACACTGCCCTATTTACATCATTACGTATGTTTCCAGGAGAAGATGATCGCGATGTCTGATCCCAGACAGAACATATTATGTGTCCCAGGTTGTGATGTAGCCATTTCCATCACAGATGGTAAGCATGTAAGCAAACAACACCGTATCAACCCTGCGAGCGCTGGCAAAGTGAGAGACGCTTTCTTAATAGCAAGCAATGAAGGCTCACTAATCCTCATCTCAGCTGACAGTTCCTTGGCCTGGTTAGACATTGACATCATTTTTTCCCACAGTTATCAACCGTACAATAGTAGCGAGGCAGTGACATAGGTGCCGTTCTGCTGGCCTGCTTTTCCACCCAGCAGCGAAGGCCACACTACTCGTCGCTGCTCGCAATCCTCTGAACACTCAGTCGAACCATCCCCGCGCTGACATAATCGCTCTGTGGTGACGCTGAGTCTTTCCAGCGTTAGGAAAACGCCAGCTCCCGCAGCATACCCAGTACCTTTCCAGCAGCCTGGGCTACGGCTCGACGCAGCTGACCCAGTCTGTGCAACCCGGCAGCATGCTATTCACCTTGAACTTAAGCAATGCAAGAACAAACCATCAGCTTCCAGGAACTGACTGCTCAATTAGAAGCAGAAGCTGGGAGCCCTCTGGGCCAAACCTGCACACTGAAACGGATGGTTATTAAGCAGTCCGTCTATCCCAAGAGAGAATTAATTGCCATGCCAGTGTCTAAATCACACCGGTTTGGGACATCACTTTTCCCTGTACTCGGCTGAAGCAAGCAAACACTATTTGCTACGTGACAGGTACGTCGCCTCAGGAGCGGGAAGGTCACAAAGGCAGCGCCGGTGCCAGCCATCCTTACGGGCACCCTCACCTTACGTTAGTTTTCCTTCAGAAACAGAATTTATAAAAAGCTTTAAAATAACAGAAGACTCAAACCGTCCCCTTACATTTTCTTCTGAATTCATTCTTTCTGGAAGTTTAACTGGTAGTTCGGTGAACCTCACCTCGTCTTCTTTACACATGCCTGCTCGCTCTAGAAGTGACATACGCAAGTCGGGCCTTCCTCAACATACATCCATTCAAAGTGAAACTGGAAAACCCTTGACATCGTCAAAGAAAGCTAACTATGCCAGAAATGCACGTGGGAGAGATCTGGATAATAAGATGCTGCCACGTATTTACACAGCACTTGTTACTCCAGACTTCAAAATCCTTCAGCAGCAGAACAGCAGTTCCAGAACAGCACTTCCTATAGACTGCATAAGTCTAAGAAAAGGGATTAGAAAGAAAGGAGGGAGGGGGAAAGGAAAAGGTGAAGCGGCTCACAAAAGGCCATCAAACAAGTCAGTGGGAGAGCTGCGTTTCTAGGCTCCCAGGGCTCCTGACTCATTCCCAAGGCGCGAGAGCAAGGGTCCTGCGGCAGCTGAACTCTGCATTCTTATCGAATCAAACCCGCTGGAATTTCCCCACCAGAAGTGCCATCTTAGCGTTGGCTCGTGGGAGAGTCCCTAAATAGGCCAAGCTTCTTCTTTATCAAAATAAGGATACGTTCTTTACATATATTGATTACGATTACTCTTTCCAATTATTCACACCTTTCAATTCAGAACGTTCAACATGCTGTAACAAAGGAGAGACAAGTGCAATCACCTGCATCGGACTGTCGTTGCCCTTTCTAAACAACCCCTATCCAGATCTGCCTGGAGTTTTGCATGCCAGCTACAGACCTTGCTTGCCAGGGGAAATGATTAAGGCAGGGTATGTTAATACCTGTAAATGGGGTCCATGAAAAAGGGTGATGGCTTAGCATAATGCAGGGACGGTTGCTGAGGCAGCTGAGACTGAGAAATCTTGGGTAGGACTTCACTTGCCATTAGTTTCCTTTCCCCATAAATGTGGTTTTTCCGTGGCTCTCTTCCTCCATTCTGACTGGCTCGGATGCGGTTGCCAATGCTTAGATCCAGTGGCTGTTCTTCCCCTGAGGCTGGGGCTGGCAGGACCTTAGGTGGTGGCAAGATTGGCTTAATCTCTTTTGGCTTTGTGGTGAGATCGAAGGGTGACTCCGAGCTGGTGCTGCCTACTTTGTGGAGGTCCCTGGGTGACTTTGGTTCTGCCTTGACCAGCAAGTTGTGATTGAGGGTCCGCTCTGTAAACGGATAGAGTGAATGGGGAAAATTGGGGAGGAACTGAAAGGGGAACATGGAATGATAGGGGAGCGAACCCATCTTCTTCTCCTGCATCCCCATAAAGCCAGGACCAAAATATTTCTCTGCAATGGAGGCAATAGCTTTAATAGAGTCATTGGCTGCTCCTGTGGTAGGTAGCAGGTGCTCTTCTGGGGGAGGAAAGAAGGAGTGCTGAGAATAGAAGAGAGGGATCTCGCTGGTGTTGTTAGTGGAACTTGCGGACACAGAACTGCTGACAAAATCCGGCTTGCTCTCCATCTGTTTGCTTTTCTCTTTTGTTTTGTCCCTGTCACTCTCTGCATCACTGTCCAGGTCAGAGCCGGTGCCAGTAGTGGTATCCAGATCCGTGCCTGTGGTTGTATTGACATCCTCAAAGTCACTGCCATCTGACATGTCACTGTTCCTGGCTTTTAGCTTCTCCAGATAGGAGTTTTCCAGGCTGCTTTCACATTTCTCCTCTCCTGAAGTGGCCTGGTTGCTGTTGCTTACTGCAGAAATCAGAGGAAGTGCCGGGTTCCCAAGTGGGCTTGGAAGCTTTGCATCTTGAGTGTGGTTGAGGGGACTTTTGAGCAGTTGTGTGGGCGGTAACAAAGGGGGCCTGGGGTACAGGGAGGGTGGGAAAATCCCCGGGAACCCTGGAGCGAGGGCAGGAAATGCTGGGGGGGCAGGGGTGAATGGAAGACCCCCTGGGTGTGGACGGGATGGAAAATAATCATTAAATCCCAGGCTGGCGTGATTGAGGTTGGGAGAGGGCTTGGATTTGTCCATCATGGAAGTGGGCGTCAAGGGTAGTCCAGGGGCAAAAATTCCCCCTGGGTTGTAATGGTTCTTGCCCTCGCAGAAGCGCCGGTGCTTGTTGAGAGAAGAGGTAGTGCTGAACATCTGGCCACAGTCCTTGCATTTGATCTGAGTGCGACAGTCAGCGTGCATCCGCTTGTGACGGCAGAGGTTGGAGAACTGCGTGTAGGATTTGTGACAGACCTCACCTAAAGCATCAACAGAAACCAACAACAAAAGCGATATGAAATTAACAGGAAATTGTGTGGAAGTAATTAAGAGCTCCATCAGTGTTTTTCTCTTCCCCCGCTCCTTTCATCCTGCCCCCAAGATCTCTTTTTCCAAAAGACAGAAAAAAAAAAAAAGGAAAAATACAGGCTATAGTTATTTGCTGGACGGGCTTCACATTTCCTCTGCTAAGGACTCCCTATACGACTTCAGGTAAATCATTCAGTACCTTTGTGCTTCAGATCTGTGTGTAAAGTGAGGCTAATGAGCCCATCCGGTCTCTGGTTTGCAAGAATTTGGGAAAGGCCATCTCGCTCTTCAAATGTTTGTACAGGACTCGGCATCCCCAGGCTCTGATCACGGCTACATTCAGAAAAGGAAGCAGCAGCCCTGGGAATCCCGGACTAGGATGCTGGAAGAGATGCTTGGGGGAGCAGACTGGAAACCCCCAAGAGCAGCTGACAGCAAGTCATGATGCATTTGGATCCCAGCCATTACCAAGCTGGCACGGGTGGCATTCACAGAGGCTACCCTCCTAGAAATAATAACACATTTCCCTTTCAAATAAACCTTGTTCCTAGACAATCTCTCAACATGCTACTCTCTACAATTTGACATAATGTGCTATTTCAGCTCAAACTATTTTTGTGAATTTTTAACTAATCACGCATTTTAATGATAATATCTATTTATACTAGCTAGTCTGCTTTCCCTGTAGTCTTGGCATGGCTGGAAGTACCGAAGGCTGAAGGGAGTAGAACTTTGCCTCATTTCATCAAATCTACCTTTTCTTTAATGCCATTAATAGTAAGTAACCACTCCATAGGGATGGTCTGTAAATATTTCACCAGCCAGGGCTCAGCTCAGCTAGAAGTGGGGTGAGATTTTGTATTCATTAAATTAGTAAGACACCCTAGTGATGCTTAGTTAACGCTCCATCAGCATTTTCTTTAATGACCTCTACATACCAAGCATTCAAAATGTTACTTGTTACAGCCTTTTTCACCTACAGACTTTATAGGCATGGCAGGAGCAAAGTAAGAAAAAAATCCCACCCAAACTTTCCCCTAAGTCAAAACACTGTGACTTTTTAATTATCTGATGCCTCTTTCAACATAGGAATAAACTCTACTTCTCAACCAATTAACACTTACACTTGTTTTACAGGAGAATTGCTGTTATCACCATTTTGTAAACATGGAAACTGAGACAAAGAGAGGGAAAGTGAATTGTTCAGAGTTGGACAGCAAAGCTGTGGTCAGGCACAGAACCGAATCCAAAGTCTCCCAACATCCAGTCCTGGTCCTTCCTTCCTTCCTCCCTCCCTCCCTCCCTCCCAACTTTTACTGATAGGTACATGCAAGCCCAACTTTCGTTCTCTTTTTTCCTAAATCTTTAGGAATATTTCCTAGGCGCTCTGGAAGGCTGAGGGGGAAGCCTGTTCTACTGAAATTCAAAGCACAGATTAGGAAAATTTAGCAAACTTGACACCTCAGATGAACACTGCAAAATTCAACGGCGTGTCACCGAAGGGGCTGCTGCTCTGTCTGATTTCTGATTGCACTTGAAATTTAATGTGAACTATCTTTCCTCAAAATATTTCAGCTTTTCTACTTTTAGGCCTAGACACGGCAAGGAACTGCGAAGCAAGCACGGATGGAAGGAGAACTAAAAAGTCATCCAAGTTTTTTGAAACTTAACGTAGTTTCAGAGTTTGGGTAATAGCTTTTTGGATATAGCTCTCTCTCAAATTACTAATAATTTTTGAAGAAATGTCACCTTTGGGTGGATTTATTTAGAAGATGTTTGCACATTCCTAATTTTAACTATGCCTCCCTTACCATGTGCCAAGGGATGTTATACTGTGGTTTGGAAGATCCACACAAGTTTATACCAAACGGCTAATCTACTTCAGCAGATTGTACCATGACTGAATGCAGCTTCTGTCAGTCTTCACTGGCTGAACGCTGTGCTTGTGGTGTTTGTGTTATTTTTACTGTATGCATTCATAACACTACAAATGAAGAAGTTACACTTTTCTCATGCGGCAAAACCTTATGAGAAGACATGGAGAATACAAGCAACGTCTTTCAAGGGAATCAGGTTCCTTTTGTCCACTCTCCACCCCAGGAAGAGTAGCTGTAGCATCTCGATATATGCAGCGTTGCACAGAATTCCCTAGAGAAGCGCTACAGGTGTAAGAGCTCACGTCCCCATTCTAAAACAAGCAAAACCGGATTTTTTTTTTGGTTTAAATCTCCAGTTATGCAATGATTTAGTAACTCTGTGTATAACATCCTCTCCTGCTGTTCTGTGTTCTACAGTTACAAAGTTACAGCTTTGTGTTTTTTTTTTTTTAATTAAACCAGGTATAACATTGTAAAAATATCCTTTGTTCATTGAATAGGAAAGAAAAATTGTCCAGAGTACCATCCTGTCTCATGGCTCCCCTAAAACTGCTAATGGATTCCATATTAACACATGTGAGTCCACTCGATACGTATGAACTAGGCAGAGTCAGGCTCTAGTTGTTTTACATGCTGATTTAGACTGACAGCTCCCTAATTCTTATGAGGTGAGAGTGAGGAGATTATGAGAAGAAATCATTCATTTCACTGCAGCAATACTATGAGATTCAAATGATCTCTTTCATGTGCCCGTCATCAAATGAAAGATTGCATCAAAATGAGCAATAAGAGTATTTCTTCTTCCTCCACTGACACCCATCTGATTATCTCAGAACACACTAATGAAATGAGTCTCCCAGGATACTCTTGCATAATGTTCCTATTACACCAACGGGCAAAAGTGGGTTCAGTGGCTTCCCTAACGTAACATCAAAGCCTGGAATCAAACGCATTTTCTTTAGCTGCACTTTCGTAAGATCGTCTTGAGTAGTCCCTGAAGTTTCCCTAGCTTTGTTGTGACACAATCCACTTCTCCGCACGGTTATCAAAACCTAATAGGTGCTGCGTCAATTAAAAAAATATACAACCCTGACAACGACAAGGGAGGAGATGAATGGCGCTCAAGGGAAAACGTTCCTTTGGAAACGTTCCACCAAAGAGAGCACTAACGACACAGTTAATCTGCTATTTATTTGGCTTCCACGTACTATCCAGGTGAAACATAGTAGTAAATAAAGAAGGAAAAAACTCTTTTATGAAGCACCTTCCTCTAGCCTCTCTGACTATTCAAAATTCTTTACAACTGCTCCATGATTTGAGGCACCCCTGCAAAACATTTCGATCAGGCTCTGTCAGCTATTTATTTATGTCACCAACATGAACGTTCAAAAATTATTAAGGAAAAAAAGGAGAGAGAAAGAAAAGATATGAGAAAATGGCATCGCTAGGACTGCTGAGAGACTCAGCTTTTAACTTGTCAAGAAAGTCAAAAACTGCCACGAATGTTTACTGAAAAAACAGGGAGCATGCAAAAAAAAAAAAAATCACTGCGGAATTTCATCTTGTGCTCTGACCTATAAAATTACAGCGGCTGCTCACAGAGGGACAGCTAGTACTGGGGGGCCCCCGCAGGATACGGGCAATTATAGCAAAAGGCAGAACTCGGTGATGGCCATGACAACTTACATATGAAAGGTTTGACAGTACTGTGAATGTGCTTGTGTTGTTTGAGGCCGGACGAGGTGGCAAAGGTTTTGCCGCAGTCTGGGCAGGCATGGGCTCGCGCGCCGACGTGCTGGGAACGGATGTGCCGCTGGAGGTTGCTGGGGTCGGTAAACACCTGAAAGAGAAAACGCCTTGAGGGAGGGCAAACACAGCAGTAGGGAGAAGAGAGTAAATGCGAAAAGCTGGACTATTAGTGCTTTTTTT